TTTCAACTGTTTTTTTCCTAAAGCCTAAAGTTCTTTATCAATAATATAAAAATCTGAAATGTGTTCAATTTAAATATGATACTAGCATGAACTTTTCAATATTTTTCATTTTAGTGCTCTTTGAAATTACAAATATTATAGATGATTTTAAAAACTTAGAGAATTATAAATAAACATTAAGTCTTTACTCTTACACAGTCTCAAAAATTGAGTGTGTATCCGTTTAGACCTCTTTTATACCTTTACAAACAATATGCTTAAGTATGTATACATTTTGTTATATAAAATTTGTCATTCTCCACATTATTCTATAACTCGCTTTTTCATATAACATTATATAACAAAGATCTACCTTGCATCAAGTTCCTTAAAAAATGGAGCTTAAAGAGAAAGCTGATTTGCTAATTTATTAGCAAGTGTAATCCCAGAGAAATTGGAGAGAGTCAGAGAAGAAAGGAGAACAAATATGATGGAATGCATTACTGGGCTGGGTCTGTGAGTGTCACTTGCAACTGACAGTGTAATCTCATAAGCTCTTCTTTCCAAAGACTGTATAAACTACTTCATCTCAGGACAGTTGAAGGAAGAAAAATGTATCTACCATCTCGTTATCTCTCATATGTCAAAAATGTATTCACTGCATAGGGCATTCAGTTCCTCTATAATTCCAGATTGCCAGTATGTGAGTGTTAAATGGATCCCCTTGCCACCGATAATTCAACAACAGAAAAGGCCTGAGGCAAAAGGTGCGAGTTTTAATAAGGCCTGAGAAAAGTCAAATGCCACCATAATAGCTGGGACACAGCTTCTATGAAAAGGATCAGCCGTGGTGGTACATAATGATGTCTGAAACATGTTTCCTGTGTTTTACAGATATAGCTAGCTCATTCTTTTAAATGGCTGAATAGTATTCCATTGGATGGATGTACTACAATTTATTTAAATAATATCCTAAGAATAATAGTTTTAATGATAATAAGGAGAAAAAGAAATAAGGCGGGGGTGGGGGAGGTGAAAAGGGCATAACATTGAATCTAAATCTTGGGTTAGACCATGCCAATTAATTCTCTCCATCCAAAATTCCAACCTTTACTTTCTGCTTCCATCTTACTTTCTCAAGATCCTTCTGCTACTTTCTGCTGCTGCTTTTCCAGTGTGATTCTATAATTTGATATTTTTGCACAATCTAGTCCTACTTTTTGTAACTATTAATTCTGAGCATAGAGAACCTTTGAGAATCAGGGTATTTATACCTATAGGATTTGGATTTTTAACTTTCGATTTGGGTACTTAGAAC